GGGCTCAAAATACTATCAAAATGAACTGGTATACGGCCGAAAAGAGAAAAGTTATCAAAGTTATCAAGGGTCAAACATACTGCATTTTTTTATAATTAGTTTAATATAATTAAATATTGAGCGATTGGCAACAATACAATTTCGCTTGGCTTTCAAAGACAAAGGCCATAAATCGCTAGAACACTGTTGTTTAGTCATTTGACATTCGTAATTAGTACAATTTCTAACGCTGAATCGAACGGTGGTATTTTTATCCTTATTGGGCCATTAGGGAAAGTACATTTATTACACCGAGGGAGGGGGATGAAGATGTCTTGAAAAAAGCTCATATTTTTACAGGGCCCCTGTTGAGGTTATCGGTAAATTTCGATGCCCCCCCCTCGAAGTTTTTAAAATTTTCAATGCCCCCCTTCTCTCTAGAATTCGGAATCGAAGGAGTACAATCCGGAATTCTCTCTTATCATAGATACAATTTGCAGTTCCTCAAGATGTCTGATATACTCAAGTGCTACTCAGTTCTTCTTCTTAACAAAACTACCGATCTGCTGCTTCTTTCATCTCACTAGCACCAGATGATGGCACCGTCTTTAAAACATTTTAAATTGGCTCTAGGGGTGGAATTATCAACAAGTCGTTGTTGTCCATCATTGAGCGCATTCGGAGTCTTGAACACGTTCATGTAGTGGCCAGGATTTCCTGGATCAGGGTAATGTGCTGGAACCTTACAGTATGTTGCCCCCACTCAACGTATCTCCCAGCATCTGTTGCAAATGTCTTTGCATGCCTGTCAAAAATGCATGCAAAAGTGCCAGTATGCTTCAATTTCTTTAATTTCCATCCCGTTTGTACGAAATATCCCATAAACATAGAACATATCATTCTTGCAAATTGTATATGCTTTTTTGCTTTTTGGCACGTAAATTACTTCACAAATCTGGCGCAAAAAAAATTAAAATAAGCTATAGGTGATTTCATGTATCCATTTAGAAGAGCAGACTAAGGATATCTTGGACGTAGCAAAGCATCTGACGTAGCAGGGACGTAGCAAAGCATCTGACGTTTGGGGTGGGGGGGATGTCAGAGGATTATACGTGTAATAATTATAATAAAGCTTTTTGTGATTGATTGGCACTCTTATACTAAGTTTTGGGAGAAAAGGGGGGTCTGGGGGTCCTCCCCCAGAAAATTTTTACATTTTCGAAGCTCTAGGACTGAATTTCTGGCGTTTTCTAAGGCAAATTTCGCAAACAAATTGCATGTAAATTGACTGTATTTTACAAAAATGGTTATCATTTCACAAAAATAATTACTTTATTACGCAAATTTTACCTGAAACTGATGTAAAAATTTTAACTTTATTTTGCTGGGGTCAAACCTTTGAAAAGTTTAGAGCCCCCCCTTCAGTATATCAAGAACTTTCAGAGCCCCCCCTTTAATGCCAGAAAATATTTCGGAGCCCCCCCTTAACATCTTCATCCCCCCCCCCTCGGCATAATAAATGTACTTTCCCTAAGCTTTATTTTTTTGCTTTATATAATTCTTAATAATACAAGTGAGATTTAAATTTTTGCTTTGTGAAATAGAATGCCGTTATTTTTTACCGTTATTTTTTTGTGAAATAGAATATCGTCTATATCATATCCAGGATTGCTTGTGTGTAAACGCATTATCACTATATGGCACTGTCAAATAAATATAGAATAATACATGGGTGCGCGGAAATACCAGATTTATTTCGAGTGTTTAACATGATATCTCACAAGTGAGCGCAGCGATCGAACGAGTGAGATATCATGTTCAACACGAGAAATAAATCTGGTATTTCCAAGCACCCATGTATTTTTCAGTTTATTATATAAAGGACAGTCTTTGAAAAGCGATAATTTCTACAGAAAAGCAAAAATTGAAAGCGATAATTTTCACATGTGAGATTATCATAAATAATCTCACATGTGAGATTATCACTTTTATCAGTGCTCGAAATCTCTATAAAGCACTATACTTTATAGAATAAATATAAGTAACAAATTAGAGATAAACAGGTGATTCACAATGAAAACTTTAAAAATGTTAGTAGGGGACCGATCGTTTATTACGTCTCAGGGGGGGGCGGTGGCTTTTTAAAAACATTATCAATAAAATATGCACCCCCCCATATTTTCTGGAAATGAAAAAATGACCCCCCTGTTCAACTATATAGATTAAAATTTAAAAATATACCCCCCCCCCAATTGCACTAGGCATTTCTAGGCATCAAACCTCAGTGCATCAAATATTCAAATTATAAGGCCTCGCGAAATTGCTAATTCAATATAATATCGAGTCATATATAAAAGCAAGATTGCGTATTTTGGCATTCAATACAAAACAGGAAAACGTTATACAAAAATATCATATTAATGAATGATATAAACATGTAAAAGTAAAAATGCAATAATATTTATATATTATTATAAAATGTAGATAAAAATACCTTTTTTGAAACATTTTCCGCCATGTTTTTTTTAAGTGTAAACCATTGACTGCAATCATTCCGTTCAGCGGAGTCACTAAGGGCCTGTTCATATGATCCCGCTTACCAGGACGTCTCGCTTACCGATGATCTCGCCGCCTATCTATTTTCCTATAAAATTTTGCATTGTGTTCATATGAGAAAGCGACCTGGTCCGCTTGCCGAGATCTCGTTTGAATTTGCCGAGATCATAGGTAGGCGGGATGAAAATTTTTCCATATGAACACGCCAGCCCGCTTACCTGGATGAAGTCAAACAAGTCTTGCCGGTTTAATTTAACACTTTTTACTTGGTTTTATGTTTGTTTTGTAAACAAGTATTAAATAAGCATCTGAAGAAATACTTTTTCTTGTAAATAAACGAAGAAAAACACTAAAATCGCTAAGTATTTGTGTTGCTTGACTGAAATGTAGAAGTTTTGCATACGCTATTAATTATGGAACTACAATGTAATTTCATCTCGGCAAGCGGGACGAAATATTCCATATGAACGCACGGAAATATTCGTCTCGGTAAGCGAGACGTCCCGGTAAGCGGTATCATATGAACAGGCCCTAAAAACCATTGAACTAAACTTTCAACTATAAAGAGTTGACTGCTAAGAACTAGATTCCAGTCTTCTCTATGCAAAAATGGCACACAATGGCGCAATCTTGCTTGATTAGTTGTATTTGTTTTTCTTTTTTTCAAATTCAAAATGGTAGATATATTTTGAATTTCATCTCATACACCAAATAAAGTCATTTTAATATGTAAGAATCGTTTGCAATTTCAAAATTTAACCCCCCCTCTTTTCCTTTCGGGAAACAAAAAACTACCCCCCCAAAATAGCCATATTTAAAAAATTAACCCCCCCTCAAAAACCACCGCCCCCCCTGAGACGTAATAAACGATCGGTCCCTAGAAGTAGAAAACTCGAAAATTTATGTCTATTCGTATAACGCCAATGACGGTCTGTGCGCATCTGACATTGTAAATTTGTGATATAGATTGTAGTATATTAACAAAATATTATGATTAATAGAGACCAAGAAAAAGGCTAAAGTCTTACTATAATTACAGAATACGAATTATGAATACGAATCCAAAATTTTAAAGACAAATCAATGACTGAAATTTCCTCTATGCTTATGAGTTATGTACATTTCTCTGTTCGGCTATTATCAAATGTTTACATTTGCTAATATTGACTGTTTGGGCCAGTCCTAGACAATACTGTTTCTTTTAAAAATCTTATAAACAAGACGCGTAGTAACAAGTAAATCGGTGCAAAGCGTATCAACGTTTACAAGAAAGGACAAATGAAATGGCATATTTTAAAAACATTACAATAAACGTTTGTTATAACCGCGCTCGAGTGTGAAGAGAGCATGCTGCATGCATTGAATAACAACACGAGAGACCACTGCGAGTAACGATTTGCTTGGTTTCTTGACTTGACTGTTAGTAAAAATGTAAGAATGTTATTGTAAATTCAAAGCAAAGAAAATAAACAAAAATTAGCAAGTATTTTGAACTTAATAATTCGCAAAATTTATGTTTTTACAGGTATTAACGAATATCCATTGGAAGCATGTTGATGTAATATGATACTTCCCCACACTACCTCGGGCGCTAAATTTTTGACCAGCCGTTACGAGGTTGGGTATGCCTCCCCTTGCTACCCCTGCACTCTCCCCTTATGAGTAAAATAATAAAGTATGGCATATTAAAGACTAGGTTAAGTTAATGGGTTAATAAGTAAATTATTGAACTACAGACATTATACATACATCATCCATGAGCATGGCTATGATATTGGGTGGCTTGTCTGTCGCCTTTGCTTGGAAACTGCAGTAAGAAACAAGAAAAAATACCACCAAAACCTTCTCCATTGCTCGCATAATTGCGCATTTTATTTTATCGAACTTATTATCAGTGCTCTCATTTCCCATTGCCTGGAATTCCTTAGATTCTCGGCAAAAAATTCCTCAGATTTAGTAAAATTTCCTTAAATGTGGGGCAGGCTTGTTTTTTGGTAATTCATGGCCTGAATGATTGAGAACTACAAAGTTAGGTTCCCAGAATTTTTGTCTCATTTGGGAATTGGGATTTTGAGCAGCATCGTGAGAAGGGATTTCACATTGTTGGTCAAGGAATATCTTCCTTTGAAAAATTTTTGCAGTCCTGAATGCATAAGACTGCATTTCCTGTGTTTTTAAAAAGTATTTTTGCATAAATACAGCTAAATTGGCTGAATTTTTAAATATTATTTCAATATTTTCAAATATTAGATGAAAACTAAAAATTCCTTAGAAATTCCTTAAAAATTCTATTTCCTTAAAAGTCTCCTTAAAAACTGATAATTTCCTCAGTTTAAGGAAATTTCCTTAAAACGAGCCCTGCTTATTATAATTGCACTTGTTAATTATTCATTAGAATGATTGGAATTCCGAAATCGTGTTTCCACTTTGCAACAATATAATTCTTTCGCTGCACAAATTTTCTTCAAAGTGGAACCACAGCAAAACAAAATGGCTGTTTGTGTCGCGGTGATAGCGAAGGAGGTAAGGGGATTTCAATGCCATAGTTTCTTTGATCGAGGATCCGTATTTCTAAGTGACTTGTGCTAACATTGAGCTTTTTTATTGCTAGAATCATCCCCTATTTTTGCGAACAATGTCCCCGGAAGAGGAGTTGAAATTTCACTACACCGTGCACACGTCGCTGGATGTCGTCGAGGAAAAGGGTAGGCTTATTAAGTAAAATTTGCAACAATCAGTTTCTGTATTTCACGTTTCACATGCAAATTTCTTGTTAACACTCCACTTCACGCGGATATAAGCGTAAAACGTACCATGATGACGTCATGATGACGTCACCGAGTTTCAGAAAGCGTTACTGGGCAACAGATGATGGTCGACTTCTGAAATGCTTACACCCATGGCAATAAGAAAATTAAACTATATCTTCCTATTCTACCTATTTGCTATTATAAATATGTAAAGAATTATCATTTTGCCACTCTGATAAGGGCTGGGTCACCACCATTGGCATTGCCAGCAAAACTAATTTATACACCATTAACATAGTGTTTCAATAGATGCGTACTGTATTTGTACTGTATAAATGCATTTTGTTTTAGTGTCATCATTGACAAAGAGTTCAAATGATCCTCGAGAACTTTACTTGGGTCTACTTTATCCAACTGAAGACTATAAAGTGTATCCTCATTCCTGTTAGCGCTTGTTCTGTATAGTTTGGGACCATTATTATAAAAGATATTTTAAGATAATAAAAATTACTGTTTTCCAGCAGTAGTAGAAGCTGTTTGTCTGTAGAAGCTGATCAATCGAGATTGGATTTTTTGTCAGAGAAAGAATAGTTGTAGTTTTAATTAAGCCCAGATCAAACGAGAGTGAGAGTGCATGAGAGTTGCAGTCATGTAACCTTGCCTTGGTTAGCTTTCTTAATGCTTTCCCAACACAATCATGTACTCTATCTAAGACCCCGTTCACACGATACTGGCATGGAATTCTGCCGGCAAAAAATCATCACGGTTTCAACTGTTCACACGGTACCGGCAGATTATATTCCGCTTTGACAATATGCTGCACAAATCAGTTAAAATAGACAGAATAAAATATCCAACAACAACTTTTGCAGTTTTGTTCATTTCATTTTGCACAACCGTAATGAAATTCTTACGGTTAGGCGTTCACACGGCACTCTGACGGAAGAATTTCATTCCGTTTTCAAACTCTTACGGTTTGCATATCGTTTTCAAACTCTTTCGGTTAGCGTTACGGTTTCACATTTTTTCATACCGGCGTCGTGTGAACGCATCCCCTAAACGTAAGAATTTCGTTCCGTTTTCCAACTCTGCCGGTATCTTGTGAACGGGTTCTATCCCCTGTAACAATGCGGGACTGCAAACTCTTTACTCTTAACAACTCTCTTCATCGTTTGACCAGGACTTTATTGAGTTTATTCTTTAGTTTTTCTTGACAATCTAAGATATGGTTATGTTACCAACACTAAAATTAAATTTGTAGTGGTTGTGGAATCTGCAAACAACTTTTTAAGGGACAACGAAATAAGAATGGTTAGTACTATCTCTCCTAGAAAAAAATACGAGAATTGTCCTCACCAAGGATCAATCTGAAAGCTTCTTGGTATTCTTTTTATATAGATGTTCCAACGTCTTCATGTTGCATACACAGACATGTTTTGTAACCCATTTTATAACGCTGGTGAAAATATCACCTCCAGGTTAGTCTGTTATACCAAGTTGTATTAAATTTGTGGGTGTAGCGTTACAAGTGAATATACTACTAAAGGAGTAAAGCTCGATTGTCACTTCTGTCAATTTCTCGCTTAATTTCTTTTGAATTGTAAGCGCTCAAGTAGAACTGATTTATTCGAATAGTCACAATTATTTTTCTTTAAGTGGAAATCCCCCTAAGCCAGATGGAATACACAACACTGTGCCGTCAATACCCATGTCAGAATCGCCATTGAAATTCGTAGTGCTGTCCGTTTCTCAACAAAATCAACACAATTTTTTCCAGACGATTTGAAAAAGTGGTGGAAAACATGATGAAGCAAGACTGAGGAACGTGCATAGACATTGCACGCAAAGACGTTGAAGTACAATCTACGAGAATATTGTCAGAAGAGCCCGAGGTTTCACCCAGAGATAAGAGTGTAGTTTCAAAATGGCAAGATAGACAACCTCGAATTGCTAGACTAATGTAATTGTAAATAATTTGCCATGTAAATAAGAACACCCGATGATAATAAAGCATTGACATTGTAAAAAAGTATGAACTTTAACACGTTGTAAACGGAATGATCTTCAATTTGTCGAAAGCAGGGTATCTCTTAAGGGACTGGTCATAAAGTAACTGCTAGGGTGGGCTGGAGGTAAATCACAAATTTTGCCAATAAGTTCGGTGACCCATCTTAGGATGTAGATAAAAATTTCAAAGCCCATTCTAATCTTAGAAAATATTTTTCATGACCCACCCAATCTAAATTGGGAAAATACACTTTTATAATAAAAATAACTTGCAGGTATATGAACATTGATTGTACCGATATACACGGCACTGTATTGACATAATTCCACCAAGCTAGCTTGATCAACACAATAATCACCATTTACGATACTGAGCTGCTCTCCAGTTGGTTGTATTTGCTGTGATTCGACCACTTCGTGTTGTTGTATAAACAAAGTACTGGCTTCAATAGCATCATTTGCATTTGATAATTTGGATATAGTTTGGTTTACTTTTATTATTATCTTTATTTTTTGAAGTAGACATGCATGGGTTTTTGTTTGGTAGCCCAACCGCGGACATACAAAAAAATTGGCGGCCCATCGAAACTGCCCAATGATTTTCCATGGCCCATCCCAAATCGCTCCAGCCCACTCTAGCAGTTACTTTATGACCGGTCCCTAACCGGTCTAATAAAAGATGGATAGCACTCATACACATTATTATCAAGACAAATTTTATTCACCAAAACATACAGAGTTTCAGGGTATACAAAACCTAAGCTGGGATAAACGTTCTACAAGACCATGTATTCATGAATTAGCTTGCTAATAATTTCACGTAGGAAAAATTCTATACATCTTCATTATTCTCGCATGACTCTATTCTTCATTGTCCACAAGTCCAGAAAATTGCTTTATTCGGTCACCGACTGTTCTTCAACCTTTTTCCAAGTGTAAAGAGACTTTACAAAAACTAGCCTGAAGTGAAATCCACGGTAACAAAATTTGTTTGGCATGTAACAAAATTTGTACAAAAAAACTGAACAACTCGATACAATTTACTCTTCTATTCCAAAATACAGATTTGAGAACAGCATTTCAGTGAATTTGACTTCAGGCTAGCTTTCTGTATTATCATTTGTCCATAGCCATAGGAGTAGAATTCTTTATCTTTTCTGCTTCAGTTTATAATTTCACACTTCAAGAAACTCAGTTTCACCTGTAAACAACGCTATATACACTACATGTGATAAATGGGTTATCAGTTTCATGGTTTTTCATCAACATTTTTTGCTTTAAAATTTTGGTATATTTTTTTCTGGTTCTTCTCTTTTATTATTTTTTCTTTTTTTTCTCTTTTTTCTTTTATTTTTTTCATCACCCTTTTTTCTTTATTTTTTTTCTTTTCCTTTTTTTTCTCATCATGACAACCTTTAGAAATTCATTAGAAAACAAAACTAAAATACATACCAGAACTAACAATGTGGTGCAAAGGGGTCATGGTGGGGAAAACACTGATAAAGGGAGGAAAAGCTTTTCATGGTAAGAATCCAAACAGAGTTATAATCACCTGAAATAATCCACAAAAGAACAAAGGTTGCTAAAAAAATAAATACAATGTTAAATTAACAGAAAGAAAACAAATTAAAAAATCAAAAGGTAAAAGGAAAAATCATTTGGAAACAAAAATTTAAAAAACACCAACTCAAACCATCCAAAATGCTGCTGACTTTCGCTGCATGGTTAGTATGGATACCATCTTGCCCGTCTTGGTCTATGAAGAGAATGTGAAGTATCTTGTAATTCATTATATAAACTGAAAAAGCATCAGATTTACCTAATATAGGTACACCTTACAGTTGCAAGGGCTAATCATGTCCACTTCAGTCTTTTACCCACATTGTGCACAGGACCAAGTTTACCACCCCGCAGCATGCTTTTTCCCTTCAATGGTAAAGGACTTGGACAATTTTATCTCAAGAGAGAATCTATTTTCAAGTAGGCTTTGGATTTTTGGGCACAAGCATAAAATTTGGGCTTCACCTCAAATGTTGTGTTAAAAATGTGGGATGATACAAAGGCCTAAGCCGACCCACATTCGAAAATGACCACTGACTGGACATATCTTGGTCAGATATCACCCTACCTGTACATTCCACGACCTCGTATTCTAGGTCGATATCCCGGAAAATAGCCAGGACTGTGAAAACCACGAGATCTGCCTCGTCCCCGACCTCTCGGGAATCCTCGATCCGTTGTGCTGACACCTGGTTGATTTGTTCGTTTTGGCATAACCTGAATTAAAATATACCATCAATTGCCATTAGATAGATTTCACACAAATGCCTTAACAACTTTGGCTTAGCCGAAAGGCCAATCTTACCTTGATTTGTCGACCCTTGAACAATGAATCTGATAAAACAGTAGAGTTGTGTACACTTTCTTTGTCAGCAAATTCAACATAAGCAAAACTAAATACATACAATCAAAGGTTATCATTAGTCCAAAGGCAGGGCTTGAAATAATAAATTCATGTAGAAATACACCCTTTCCAGAAGGGTGTCTTGCTACATGAAACTAAGTACTATTAAATATTTTTCGATATTAATGGCAAAGATCTGGCCCATGTTTCTCGAAAATCTAGTGAAAATGGGCATCCTTCTAATTTGTTCCAAATTTTCCGGTCAGAAAGGCCCGAAGCCCGAACGTTTTGTGTGGCATTCAACAATTTGACCGTTCTGACTGAGTTAATGGAAAGCGCCCATAGTTCAACTCACCCTTTGGGATGTCCACTGTATTTGTCACATAAGATTGTAACTCTGTTGACTGATCCACAGCCGTGAAAATGTTGCTCAAGTTCTTCTGCTGTTGCAGAATAATCCACCTGAAAACACGAATGCGTAAATCAATGCTAACCGTTATCTAAATTTCAGGATAGCTGTTTCAGATGCAAATCTTACATTTCCAACATAAACTGATCTTGCATCGACTTCTTGTTTTTCTTCAAGAGTTGGCAAAGCTAGAATATAAAGCACAAGTATTTCCCAATATTTCCAGGATTTAGGATTCAAAGAACATTCAAGCACGAGATTTGAGAGTTCCTAAACTCATCTTTCGATGCTCAGAAATATTAATTCACAATGAAATTGATGGTGGTGCACAAAAATAACACATTGAAAGGTGGAATACTCTCACAATTGATGGTTCCCATAAGTACTCCCACTGGAAAATTTTGTGCAACCAATATTTTGATTTTGTAGTACTTTTTCTACTAATTTCCAAACATTGCAGCCAGGTCAATACCTGCATTTGTTGGACTCATGCTTAGATTCAAAGATCCTTCAATTTCCTTCTGCATATCTTTTAATTTTTCTGCTTCTTCCTCCATTTCTTTCACTCTGGCTTTGATCGCTTCAAGTTCCTGGTAAAATTATGAATATTTGAATGATATTCCATCTGGATAGTTACGTCTTGATGGATGATCGGAACTGAGGATCAGGTAAAGGTACGTTTACATGGTTACACGTTTCATCGATTTGCATTTTATTGATAATGTGCAACGAAAATATTAAAAAATATATAAACTATTAAAACTCACCGGATCATCAACAGCATCATCCTCGCCTTGCTCTCTGGAGTCGTCCAAAACGTCCAGATTAGGATCTAAGTTTGTTTCTAAACCCAACACTCCGTCAGTGCTAGATTCATCTAAAGACTTAGACCAATTAAACTCTACGTCAAGATCTGGAGACTCCAAAGCACTGTCCCGGCGACCTCGTGAATCTGACTCCTCGTCGCCCATGATTTACGCGAAATTTAAAAAGGATTACAGATTTAGAAAGTAGAAATATTAAAGCTTTCGTGGTATTTGTATGAAAAGCAGCAATGGTAAAATAATATACGATGGAAACGGATTGAAATTCTGTCTAATAAAAAAATTATAGAAGTCTTTATTCTATTTTGGACAAGAAATGAGCCGACGGTTTAATTGTTGTCAACCTGCGGTTTGACAAGTTGACTTCTAAAAACTTCATTTTGCAAAAACATATTAAAGAGTGTCCCAGAGTGTGCAAATGAGCAAATATTGCACAGAAGTATGGAGTCTACCGCTGCGGCGCAGCCGCTAATTTTACCAATCAGATGCGTTTGATCTACTCGATTAGCCAATCATCGGGAACAGTTTAAAAATTTTGAAGAAAACTGAATTCTAAGTCCGACAATCAGACCCAACCTGCGAACGGGCATGCTCTGGGTACGAGATTGTTGACTGATCAGATGAAATCGTTATCCTGTCAAATGCTCATGACAAACCTGAATGTTTCACTAGAGCATAGACAATGTTTTATCCCTAGCAGTGTCGTCGAGTTGCCCACAAAGCGCGATGATCAGTCGCTTAAAAGTTAAAATTATACAAGATTACTTTATAGCCGAAGCAAATTGAATGCAATGTGGACTAATTTATTCAATAATAAAGCAATATCGCTATCCTACTATTTAATTGTCTGGACAGATTAAAATTTCGTTTTTCTGAAGATTTTGTTCTTGAATTAACCAGGATCACCCATAATAACTATGGCTAACATTGAACAATCAGTCCTAGAAAAAAATATTTGATATAGTCATGCATTTTCAGTCTCGTGTCAGTCGTGTGCTGTTTTATCGTATACCGTAGTAAAATTATTCTGGTGTAGAGTGCTGGGTCCTATTTAACCTTCTATACACTAGCTTCACCAAATGTCTGGTTTTCTGTCGAGCAAGTTTTCGTTGACATATTTCCTGGATAAGACATGACTGGCATTTACTCAACAATTTTCTTTTAATTTGCTCGTGTGTAATTTTGCTTGACCAATCCTCGGCCCATGCGTTAACATAAGAAAAGTTCTTAATAGTTCAAAAGCTGGCATAAGTGACCGCTGAGTAACTTTTAAACAAGGAATATTTTTACAACTTTTTTTGTCCACAAGGGCAAATAAAACTCGTCAATGGACTGAACAATTCCTGTTTCACTTCTATACGCTACTCACTAGCTTCACGAAATGTCTGGAAACTCTAAAGAGGGGCATGTTTGATCGCTATCAACTGGTAGATAGTCTTCTAAAGTGGGCGCGTCACTTGGTGGCGTCATCAGCTCAATTTGCGAGTATGTCTTCACGGACTTCAACAATGCTCCCTGGTTACTTAGCGAACTTTGCCAATGAGTTTTTGTTGTGGGATACGGCCCGTGGCCTTTAGCCTCACCCTGCCAGCCTTCGGCCAGATTTAATACGTACTCCTGGTCGGCTCCTGCCTGTAACATGCCTGGTACGTCCCACGTGAATGTATCCTGATACTTCATTTTAGCAGAACTGAAAGCGGCTTCACCGCTGCCACAAACGCGCGTGTTTTGAAAGTAAGAGCCTGGTGACGACTTGGGTATATTACTTGGAGTTTTGCCATTGGAACTGTCCGGGATAAGCTCGGGTGGGCCGAATATTTCATTTGTATTTCCCAAAGAATGTTCGCTATTAGCTATTGAAACCTGACCAAAAGCGCTAGTAGAATAAGGCTGCTTTTGCTGAAAAATGATGTCAGATATACTCGTAGGTGCAGACCGTTGACTTCTGTCTTCGTGGTTTCGGGCGACCGTATGCGAAAGCCGAAAACATGGCGTAACAGGTTCTGATGTGAATCTCCCCAGCAATCCACCTGAATGTCTGCCGCCGGAATTCGTACGTAACTTCTTGCGGGCTAACACCTGAATGTGACTGGCGACCTGTTTTCTTGATCTGACTTTGCCTGTTTTCATGTATATGTAACGAGATATGAGCTCATTTCGACCGTACATTTTGTCCTTTGCGGAGAGCATTATTTTTTGACGTCCACACGGCGGATAGATAGCCAATGCTTCTTGAAAGCTTTTTTCAATCTCCCCTGACCATAGACCGTCCGAATCATCGCTCATCTTTTGTGAGGCTGCGTTACTTGGTTTTTGCTGAAATGATAAATTGCAATAAGTGCGAGTCCAGTGTAGGTGTTATATACAAAGAAAATATCATAGTATAAACATTATATACGAAGTTCATCTGCCGGAAGATATAATAGCAGTATATAAACTCTATAGTAGTAGGAGTCTTCTCTCAAAATGGCGAAGCTTTCTTGACAAATTTTCAAGGAAAGCAAGTTTTATTTGCTCGCGTGTACGGCAAAAAATTGACAATTTTTAAAACTAAGCTTGTCATGAAAAACTTGCTCGTCCGTATGGGGCTATACGCGCTATAGAATGTTTGCTCGTTTGGCCGGTAATACCCTACAGTCTATGAGAATTGATGAAACTCTCATGCAAACTCTCGCTTGCCGGCTCTCATTTTCGTTTGACCAGAGCTTAATTTCCTGATGAAGTCGAAATGCCAAAGTTTGTTCTATATTTTTATGTAGATATATTATTCAGACTTTTTGAATATAGATTATATTAGTATTACTATTACAGTAATAGTAGTATTTACTCCGTTTCTGATACTGGATGATTTTATTTCGTAGTAAGAAGATAAGAAAGGGGCAACTGGAATTTAAACAAAGTGTCGCGTGGCCTTCATCCCAATTACGAAAAATGATTTTTATTAAACAACTACATATATTGCGGTAAAATTTTTAAGGACCCGTTTTTACGAATAAATTGCACAACATTAACGTACTCGGAAATCACCGCGATGTATAGAACCAAATCAGGGATCAACTTTATATAATCCGACTAATCCGTGGGATATGTATAGAACCCACACTTTGTTCCTAATTAAATTTCATGTTCCTGCCGATACCCCATAGAATCATCAATTCATAAACCCCATCAACTCATAAACCAAAATAGTTCAGGATAAATGAAATGAGATTCGAAACTGTTTAACACAGCGCTATTATACGGTTGATCCCAAATCAAAATACCGTATCCTATAACAGCAACGGCGTTAACCTTTTCGAACGTGAGCGTACAAAGTTATAGACAAATGGAATTTAGTTAAAACAACAGTTATAAAAACCCTCTATACTATATATTTGAACTGTTCTGGAACTTATGAAAAAGTCTTTAACAAACGTCTCCTATGTAGGTTTGAACTGTTGCTGTCGTCCAGTTTTTGGTGTAATAATTACTCTCTAAAATGTGACTCAACTCTCTAAAAAGTCAATGATTTAACTGTTATATAATCTACTGCTTTCAAGAACCTATACACTTAGGTGATTTGTACAACTGGTGCATATAAGCGAGATATATGATTGATAACTTTTTATAACGTTATTGTCGTGAAATTAAATTTTTTAACCTTACCCACACTAAAAGGTCAGTTTTCGGGTTCCATACTCCAAGACCAATATATGAAAATACGAGAGTTTAGTAAGCCATCATAAATTAAGCAACAATATGAGTGCTAATGAACTTGACCTTCATCGTATCTATAGGATTTCTACTTTATATGTATCAAAAGCGAGCGTCACCTGTGATTTTGTGTCAACATTTGCATGCTTCAGTTCGCACGTTGAAACCGATTGCGAAGCGGCCATCAATAATTGATGTGCTCGCCTTTCAACCTTGCGACCGTGTTCTGCGCTAGAAATCGTTCCATGCACTGATCTGGTAATAAAACTGAATTGATCTGAAGCCTGGTTTGGTGAAGATCGGCGATTTATTTTCCTCCTGGCGGATGTGACTGAACGCGTGACATGCGAAAGACTTAGAAATATGTACACTTCCAAAAAGCAATCGTCCATACTTTTAGCTGCGAATTCACTCATTCGCATCTGTCAGGAAGAGAAAATCGCCGACAAAATGAACTCCGAATATTAACATCCTGTAAACTAAATATTCTTGAGTTTATAACTGGCATTCACTCAACATTTTTTTCTCTTGCTAAATTACCTTCACAATTTTGCTGGACCACACTGTGAATTTCAAGGATTCTGTCACCGTTTGGTGACAGAATAAATAATAACACTTTTGGAGTTTATTCAAATCCTTGAAATTCACAGTGTAATCCTCAACTGTAAACACACGAAACGTTTTCTTATCCAAAAGCTGGCATGAGTGTCTTTTAAACAAGAAGACTTGTCAAGGATGTCAAGGAATACTTTTCAAATTTTTCTTGTATACATTGCACAAGGGCAAATAAAACTCGTCGAGGCTAGGAACTGAACAATTTGTCTTCTGCATGTGCGAGATATTTGTGTAGCTTAAAGACGTGCATGCGCCGAAGGAAACTGAGTTGAAATGTCTTCAAATGTATACTTATGAAATAACTAAATGAATATAACAGTATTTAGATTTCTGCATCATTTAATGTGTAGTTAGTTGTCCAAGCAATCAGTACTTCAATGAAAAAGATTTAAAACGCTCAACTGGAAAGCGCTTTTAGCTGCGGCTTTGCGGCTATACTTCGCATTTAATAAGTTCTATTTGATGTCACCCATTTTCATTTATATACTCTATATATTCCTTACCATATTATATTCATTGTCAATAAAGTCAAGAAAAAAAGTACTAAGGCTGATGCAATACTACTTATACGCGACTACCCGTCCTACCTGTTCGGAAACCGCAAAAAATTGAAGCTAACATCTGTATATACGCTGTTCCATTTTGTGTTTTCAAAATGAACACTTTGGCAAAACTTGTGAACTCTTTATATTCTACTTGGCTTTTATTACCTTTTTTCATACTCTTCTACTCTCGTATAGCTGGACGCCACTAAACCAATGAAAATAGTCCCAAAACTTAAGTAAACGTTTACTTGTGGTGCGGTCAAAGTTATTCGAGCGAGTAACTACAGCGGTGTCTTTAATACTTTAATACTTTATTACAACAGGTCTGACGGAATAATTTAGAACTAGCTTATTAGCACCTAAAGAAATTTGGCAAGTATATATTGTATTTATTTGTTTTGAAATATTTCACAAAAACAAAATAAGGTCCTTTTTTTAATTAAGCGTTTCCAAGTAAATACCCGGTATCACTATACAGTAAACTTTGACTTATATGGTAAAGAACGATAGCAAGAACTTTTGATCGAACAGGATTTTAATATCGCTTGTTTACAATATAATAATAAGTATACGTTACTTGGTTCACACACATTATAGGACATGGAACAAGTTGTTCCAAAAATTGTCCCTAGTATTATAGAGTGCTATAAATTTTGTGCCAAAATTTTGCAATCCTCGGTTTTGAAACTGTTAAAGTCTGCAGAATAAAAGCATATATAGGCTTAAAATGGTTTCAAGTCATTTGTAAGCCCAAATCTATATCATGATAAGTTGATAACAACAAGCTTTAATGTATAAGAGAATTCGACGACGACATAGTACCGTTAATCTATATTTTTTCAGTTCTGTTCACAGCTACAGTTATACGACCCTATATATGGTTCTATATTAGATCGTGGCCCCGTGGGTTCAGATTTTGACTTCCACTACCGCTAGCTACCATTAACCAATTAGATGCGTTTCATCTATCTGATTAACCAATCAAATGCGTTTAATCTACCTGATTAACCAATCAAATGCGTTTTAAGCCAGTGAGAGGTAGTGGTAGTCGAAGTCAAATCTGAACCTAAATTTATGTAACTATACATTAAAATTTAAAATTTCTTAATTCATGATAACAACTGAAACTATATATATCTACCTTATACATCTACATTTTAAATTCATAATGTTTCCACTCTTCGCTACAAATTTCCCTTCATTTTCGTCCTTTGTATCTCTCACAGTTTCTGCCTGTGAAGTCATCTGGACATTCACATACATAGTCACCAGACCCCTCCGGAGTGTGGCACTCTCCTCCGTTTCGGCAGGGGTAGGAGGCACAGGGGTCTACAACAAGAAAATAATAAAAAATATTGATTTAGTTCAGACCTTAATAATATACATGAAAAAAATTTCTCAATTCTGATTGGTGCACTTTTTTGAAATACAGTGCCAAAAAATGAAATACAGTGCAAAAAAAGAAATACAGTACAAATTTCTTAATTTTCTTGATGGTTTTTCTGTGTTGGTGTAATGCACTCAGGTGAATATGATGCTTGTGATGTTACTCTGAGTGCATATATCCACACTGGGCAAGCTTGAGTAACATCACAAGCATCATATTCACCTGTGTATATTACACCAACACAGAAAGATCGTTACTGATTATGAGATTACATTGATATCGAAGGAACTAGATCCTGTTCCGAAATATCACATACTCGAACCGATCTGACCGCGTAGCTCAGTTGGCAGAGCATTGGGCTAGTATTCCAAAGGTCGTAGATTCGATTCCCACCGTGGCCAGGCATATTTCTTGATGGTCTTTGAAAAACTTACTCGTGCATGTTTTTTTCCAAATTGCACTCGAAATCATACTATTTCCTATACTTATTATTGCACGCTTGTGCCAATGGCCTCGTTTTCATGAGGTTATTTCCTCGGGCATCAAGATCGAAGAGAAACATTTTGAATATAACTTTGACGTGCGCCTGTCATGCTAAAACTGGCCAACATGAAAACGAGGCCATTGGGACAAAAGTGCAATAGTAATGTCTATTCATGAAGAAAATTCGAAAGAATGAATGTTTAATCAATATCTGTAAATCGGATAGATTTTATCCGGAATCTAATACCTAAACTTTAGCTTCAATTTTCTCGACTGAAACGAACCGTATCGCACAGGGCCGTAACTAGACGCGTTAATTTGGGGAGGGGGGAGAGGGTGCATATTCATATATTCATATATTCACGTACCGTAAAAACAATCGCTTTCAAAGGAAATCTGTCGGGCAGAACACGAATATGCACCCCCCCCCCCCCCATTCATAGTATCGGTCTAGTTACGGCCCTGATATCCCTCTCGCATTGTTAGAGGATTTTTAAATACAGTGGTGATAGTTACTGTGACTTACTTGGTGGTTTTATAGTTGCTGCTTGAGCTGTTGTTTTACTTGGTGTGGTGGTGGTCGCACAACCTTCTGGAGCTGTTATAGAAAATATTGATAACATCAGTTGAGTATTTCATTTAGACGTTAACGAAGCTTCCGGGACGCTAGAGGTGGAAAAAGCTCAAGCCATCGTGGCAGCTTAGGATGCTCCTCAAGAAAGGAAGAATTAACCAATCAGCGTTCCCAAGATCGCTTCATAACTTCGTCCAAATTAGCAAAAGGCAGAGAGACAAATGTCTCATTAGATAGATAGATAGATAGTTAGATAGATAGTTAGTTTAATTAATTAACAACATTATAACCCACGTTAAAAATGTTCTCTTTCCTATTATAATTTGAAAAGTTCTTACTTGGTATAGTAATTGAAAAAGCTTATGACTTTCGTCACTTGCAATGTCATTAAATAGTTTAAAAAGCTTCTGCATAAGGTAACGTTGGGAAAATGATATGAAGGGCTCGCTTCTGTAGTTTCTTCTGATCTTCGCATAAGTAATTGGTAAGGTAATTGCATATAGGTAATTGGTATTAATAGGTAATTGGGATTTACCATTTAGGGAGAGCAAACGCTTTGCACGTCTGAAATCGTGGGATCGATTCTCGCTGCAGACACAAGACATTTGTGTGAAAAGAGTCGGTCAACGCTTTACCGAAAGTCGTGGTTTTTTCTGGCCGGGTACTCCAGTTTCCTCAAACAGGGATGTTGACGGGGTGGTTTGGCCCCTATAGCTGATCCAAGGTGGCTGCTATAGAGGCGACCTTAGAACGCCTTCACTCGATCAGGTTCAGTTGCGTCCTTTGCAGTTCAGCTTAGCTCTCATCTGCACGTGAGGATGATTGCCACACCCGAAGTCCTGATGATTAACGTCAACAACTTACCTTCAGGCTTCACTTCATAGATATAATTATGATGTTCTTGTCCGATACATTCAGTAGGACTATCATCATCACAATTCTCATAATCAGGACGATATCCCCAACAACTGTCAGACTTTCGTGCATTGAACAACGTCGGGGAATGAACACCTGACCAACACTCGCCGTAAAACTGCAAACCAAAGTAACGATAGCCCTTTTTCTTTGCTAGCTCAGCACATCTTAAGAATAAAAATAAACTAAAGTACAAAATAACTTAATTTATACTGGATAGCTCTATCAGTTTTAAAATGGGTCATCACTTGTTACAGTATAAATAAATGATGTCGTGGAAACCTAAATTATACTAGGAGTTACTATCGCAAGGGAAGTGCTGCCTCACCACCAAGAGATAAAAGACGGCATGCACAATTTGCTGAATATGATCCCACTTTGCCAGTACAAGATCCGAGGCGGGATTATTTTGATGTATTGAAATAAATTACAGTGCACGATTGAGCAAAAACCACATTATTTTCTAGAGATAGACTATAGTTAACAGTAAACGAGATAGTTCTATCAGTTTTAAAATGGGTCATCACTTGTAGCAGTATAAATAAATTACCGTTCGAGATTAAGCTCTCGACTAACCTGCATGACATATTCTTCAAGTGGTTATTCCAGCCATCACTCCAGTTTATCCTATCACGCCAGTTCAGAAGAAGATTACGAAGTGGGCGTTTATTATGGTCTCCATAGGAACCTGGATCATGATAGCATCCGATCTTCGTGTACTTCACATCGCACCGACATGATTGTGAGTTCACTATGAATAACAATAAAACCATAATGCACAATATCATAGAAAACTTAAGCCCTGGGCAAACTAGGAAACATTGTTGTGGAAACATTTGTGATTCTCGATGTTTCCTCAAATGTTTCCCTGTTTGTCCACCCGTGGAAGCATTGTTGCGGAAACAAAATTTGCTTCCCGAGAAGCGAATTCAGAAACATTATATGTTTACCTATGTTTCTCACTAATGTTTCCTAGTGTTTGCCCACTCTGGGAAACATGGCGAAACATTGATAGGAAACAATGTTTCCGCAACAATGTTTCCTAGTTTGCCCAGGGCTTTAGTCAAAATCGCCAGAATTAGTTATACCAATTTTTGGGTGACGTTCGTGGTGACAAAAACGTCGGTTGCTTGCGGAGCGACATCAATTGAAGGTGTTTTCCAGTCTTGTCTGCTCTTACAACTTTTCATATTTGAAGCTTTTGTTTAATTATATTATATTATCATAATTTTAAGTGCCATATTCACCTCGAAGCAGTACAATTTGATGTCGTTCCGATGCGAATCCGGTATCGTGTAACTGGGGCATCAACTATTTCGCTGACCACAGAATGACATTTCGTCAAAACTTTTTTCTTCAAGATTGGTTTAGAAACAAATTTGGAGTAGGGTTAGGTTAGGATTAGAGTAAGGATTGGGGTTAGAGTTGGTGTTTGAAGTAGGGTTAGTGTTAGTAAAACCGTTGCTTTGTTACGTTTTGTCACTTTGAGGCCAGCGAAATAATCTCTTCCTGTAACTGGGGCCTTAATGGACACCATTTCAGTATACAGAGGGTGCAAGAGGACAAGCTCTTCTTCTCCCAACCTTGTTCCCGGAGAGAATGCCTGGGAACGAGGTTGTTCTGCTCCCTCGAAAATGTAAAATCATGTTTCACGCAAAATTGCTCTTTCAATCTCGTTTCACGTAAAAAATATAAGACAAATAAAGAATTTCACTCTACATTTTACCATTCATACCTGCGAAAATAGAAACAGCTACCAAAAGCAAGACCAACATAGGACGCATCTTGAGAGCCAGATCAATCTTTGTGTTGAAAAATAACTGCTGTTCTAGCTCGTCTACTCTTTTCACACTTCTGCCAAGCTCGAGTCTTTTGTGAATTACTCAGTTAATCCCACCGGCCTTTTTATGAAGCACTGCAACAAATAAACTTAATTGAAAACAATCAGAACACCTGAGCACACATAAAACAACGCAGTACTCGATATTAATAAAAGGTAAACGCTCATATAGCGTGGTTTGGGCGATGAGTTGTAATGATATATAAAGCAAACTGTGTGGGAATTAATAATTTGAACAATACACCTTTCCGCAATGTACTTATATACGCCTTGCGTCTATTTTCAAAGATCAGAGTATTATATTCAGAATTGAAATATCGCCTTTACGCTGGTTTTCATTAGGTGGAATTTTGCGCGCGGAGCGGAATTTTCTTGGTCTGGTGATTTCTCGGGTGGAACTAATTTATAGAAAAGACCAAGAAAAACTCCTCTTCGCGCGCAAAATATGCATATGGTCGTAACGGTCGTAAAAATTGAGCAGCAATCTTTCTCATCAGCCGAAATACAACATTTTAGGACTGAAAATACGTGGAATGATTATGGCAAGAGAATATGCGGTTTACAGGTATAAACTATTATATTAAACTGGCCGTTGAGAAAGATGAGCAAAGCTGGGTACTTCCTGGAAGGGTGTATTGAGCGTCTGAGAGAAGGAAGATTTGTCAATGTCTAAACAGGCAATTACAAATGGCAGGTGAGTAAAGACGAATTGTTTATGTGGGTTGATTGCATAAATTGTGAGGGAGCCCTTTTCCAATTAATATCTATAATATATAGTAATAGTGGGCAAGGCTGAATATTGTATGCAGCTATTGCAACAATAGCAACAGTACAAGGGAATATTTTAAGCAAGGCATTGTTACTGTAAAGGAAAATAGACGCCAACAAAAGTAAAATAACAATATGCAAATTATGTAAATGCATGAATTAAGCATGCGTGATATAAGCATTGGCGCCAAAAAATAAACGTTTCAGCAGCTATTTTAAAAACTTAAAATTGAGTAAATTTGGACCATTCACCAAACACATTTATCGCCCATGAACTCAAAATGCGTTTTAAACTTTGAAATTTCGCGCGCAAGCTATTTTTAAAGCTGCTAAAAAAGACAGCCCCTGCTCTCGAAAATCAGTCATCTTATCAGTCTACGTTATAAGTACCCAAACAATCTATATTTATCAAAACTTTCATAAAATGAACGGATTTGTGAAATTCAGAGCAGTTTCAACATTTTCTAGCCATAGTAGAACTTAATAATATCGACAGCATCGCACATGCAGGTTTATCAATATGCAGAAAGCATGCAAGATGCGAGTTATGTTTAAAATATCAATATATATATTTAAGAACATGTGTATGCATGTAATTTATAAGTCGCCTTTGTTAGATTAGAATATGTATCAATTCATATGAATACAAATTATTGTAATAATTTTAATTAAACAAACAAAATATAATTTTTGGTGAAATTAATTTTCTCGGATTAAAAAGGTTTTGCGATACATAAACTACCAACATTATTGGAAAGTTAAATAAAATATCCAAGGCAGTTATACGTGGATTTAAATATTTAAATAACTCGTCTTACTTTCGCTTATTGTCTTATTTTATGTTTTAAATTTTATGTTTTCAGAACTTCTATAGTATAAATTGTAATTAACTTGTGTTATATATATCAAAATCTACAGGTAAAAAAATTACAGGTAAAAAATCCCAATTGCAACTCGCTATTCAAAAACAGCACTGACACTCAAGGGAAGCTCAGATTGAATGAGTGACCTTTAGAATACAGGCGTATACGATAGTGTATGTATGTATGTATGGTTGTCTTAAATCTAGGTTCGAATCTCATTGAGAAAACATTAATTTAATATTGGTAATACACGCCCAAAATTAGAAATAAAAGTTAATGTACCTTTAAATAATTAACTATGGATTCCAGCTATGACAGCACCACCAGAAGGATTCTCTTCCTTAAAATTCAAGTCAGCTCAAAACTGTTGAACATGCACTTTCGTCGTTAAAGCTTGAATCTATAGTTCTTTGCACCTCAATAAAACAGCTTAAAACGTCACACGTTATATTCACTTTTCAAAAATAAAATAATTAAGAACATGTACAGGATTTAAATATACTACAAACTCTAAAAGGACGAATATAGGGTATGTTATTTTATGGGCTGAAAACAGGACTAATGACCATGTATAACAAAAGAGAGTTAATAGCTAAATTTTTCCACACACTGTTAAAATTATTTTATCCTTTTACCCTTTTTTTAGTAAAATTCTTGCAAAGTTTTTCAAATTTTAAAAATTCAGAAAATGTGCGAGAAGCTTCTTTGTACAGAAAAGGAAGACTGTACTTTTCCTGAAAAACTTTATGCGAGATCAAAACAGGGAAATTTTATTTGAAAGCATAATTATCAAACTTGCAGACATCTTCTCTGTACATAATGATTAATGGACACTCAAAATTAATTAAAGGAAGTGTCTGAATAATTAAGTTTGCTAATTAATCCAAAGATATTAAGTATACAATGGCAATGTGATAATGTTAGACGAGATTTGTACAATCAATATTGCTGTATTGTTGGAACATAATGAAATATTTCCAAGCACATACATTATATTTTTGTTTTAGTTACCTAATAGGCAGATGTGACGTATTTCAAATTCAATTTACATCAAACCTGGTGGTCCAGTGTAGATAGTATATTCTAAAATTGTAGATGGCAAAGTTTGAGTCTAGACACAAACCACAACAGCTAATTGTAGATTGTAGAATACTACCTATACAGGCTACAATGGACCTCCACATTTGACAAATCTTCCTCAGGTAATTCAAACACAAACCAAAACAGCTTGTTCTTCAATACTATACCTACAGTGTATACCCCCACACATTTGAGAAATCTTTTTTAGGTAATTCAAACACAGGCCACAGCATGCACAGTGTATTTTAAAATACTACACTGGTCCACGTTTAAGATATCTTTTAGCTCTTTTTGTTTTCCCACTCAAAGTACTTGCTAGAAATAACTTTATCATTTTTCGCGAACAGGAAACATAATTTCTTGTCTGCGTGAATAATTTGTTTAAAAAAATTTACACATTAAAATATGGAGTATATTTGGGGTGAGTTGGACGTTACAATAATTCATTACTATTTTTAATTAACAATTTGTAAAATAATGCTAAATTCGGAATTCCTCAATAGACTCTAGTGCTAACCTATATTGCCTTAAATGCATTTGCTTTGAATGTCTGGTTAAGTACATTGAATTTCGAAGAACCTCAAAGGAATTACTCTTTCTTTCATTATTTAAATCTTCAATGTTTTCGTGTGTATTGTTGCTACGTGTCTGGCCACGACCGGACGGCTATATTCTTTCATATATTAAATTTGTAGGACTGGGTTCGACAAATGTAGCGAATTTTCTCCCACTCGTGCGAGCTCATCTTGTCAGCGGACATCTGACACAAAATTTGCAGGGCTGTGTTAAGGCAACGCTTTCAAATTTTCATCGGTCACCGCTGGAAAAACGAGCCTGTCGTACTGGGAGAGAATTTGCCAAATATGACCAGCGTCATACCTATAAAATAATTTTCACCATTTAGTAAATTTAAAATGTCACCTATATCCATCAAGCGGATTCTTGCATCATCCGATATGCATGGACGCTTCCTTTTTCCGTAAACTTTTTCGCTTCCTTATCCGAAACTCGTCGCCGTTTCCGTCGTAATTCGCCATTGTTCATGACGTCATCGTTACCTAACTCAGACCCATACCCTCCTCCGCCTGGAGTTTCCAAATGAAAGCAGTCCTAATGGCGAAACGAAAAAAACTTTAAGACTTTCGTTTGTCAGTAAATCGTTTCAGTATTTCGTTTCATTTATCAGTAAACCTCGGAAGGGATATTCCTTCAAATACACCACAATCATAATCACAAATTCACAATCACATAATCATAATCACAATCATAAACTATTATACAACAATTAAGTAATTGATTTTCTCCACAAAACCTACCCCGGCTTCGACTTTCACTGATGCTTTGCCGCCCAAGTTTATTTTTCTACCATCTTTGTACAAAAGAATATTTCGGCCACGTGACCCAGATAATCCACCTGTAGGAAGTTAAGAAAAATAGACAAACTTAAAGAAAAAGAATGAGCATTATATTTTCGCACAGCGCTGCGTAAATAGAAATATCTACCTTGCCAAATCATATCCCTGCAAAACAGCAATTTTCAACTCCCCCCCCCCGGTTCAATGTTGAAAGCTAATAAATTGGTTAGGTGATAGCTTTGTGAAATACAATGTCACAACCAACAATGGACGGGGGAACGGGGGATACAAAAATGCCATTATGTGTACAAGAATAGTAATACTTTAGTTCACAGCTAAGTGTCCACGGGATTTTTGCCATGATTGTTGTTTCCACACCATACCTTCTAATCCGTACGGACAAAATGCCCTCCTTTCACTGAGAATAGACAACGTCAACGGTCTTCTGAAAACTAACTCACGAATCACTCCATCGCCACCTTTATATAAACCTTGACCGCCAGAGCCTGGGTTCAACTGGAAACTCCGCAATACCACAGGGTACCTAAGGATTTAGGAAAGCGAAGAAAAGAAACACCTATAAAATTCCGCAAAAAATTCCTCCACAAGCAGACGACCAAACAATTCGTGAAAGCTGATGGTCAGTCCTTAAAACTAATGGTCAGTCCCTAAAACTCCTTTTGGTATGTGAAATAATATCCCGTTCACCTTTTCTCGATGATTTCTGGATCTGTGATTCTTGTGTTAGTCATATGGCTGTGAACGCCACTCTTTCCATCCCAATTTGGACCCTGAAGAGGAAATCAAACAGAGGCTTTCTGTTTACACACAAATAATAAAAACACTTTTTTAACTATCCAAGGAAGAACATCGCATAGGGTGCGCAAAATTAAACGCGGGTTTAAATACTGACTTACTGCTCCAGCTCCACCAGCGACAGTTTCATAATACCCACATGATTCATCTCCAAATGTTGTGTTGTTCATACAGCCCTAAAAAGTGAAGTTCAAAGTTCAGTGCCACTCTTTATCAAACACCACAGGTTTTCTCCGAGTACTCCGTTTTCCTACTGTAGTAACACTGAACCAATACGGGACGGCCCTTACTGAACCTGTAGAGAAAACAGGTTAGAACTGACAGAGCTATTACAACTGACAGAGCTATTACAACTGACAGAGCTATTACAACTGACAGAGCTATTACAACTGACAGAGCTATTCAGTGCAAATATAGAGAAAACGTGTAGAAAAAACAGTTCAGAACTGTCAGAGATTTCGAGTTTTTCGGCGAAGGTGACTCAGTTAACCCCAGAAAGGTTTACCTGTGAAGCAGCACAAGTTTCAAATGCTCTAAAAATGACGTCAACAATTCTTTGGGTAGTAAGAACATTTCCACCAACAACAGCTGCTGTATCGGATGGTGATAAGATGGTACCTGATGGTACGATCAATTGTACTGGTTTTAAACAACCCTATTAAAAAGAAAATTATCCATGTAAATGAATTATCTGGACAAAGGATATCCCTTACAGGATTTCTAGGTGTAGAACTGAATGAACTATCCACTATAAATTTGTTTAACTTTGTTTACTAACTTCCAACGCATTTTCTTACCTGATTCAAAGGTACATCATGGCCAACCATGCACCGTAAACAATAAATAATCGCAGAGAGAATAATAGCACGTGGCGCATTGCAGTTTCCATACACTTCGGGTCCAGTCCCCGTGAAATCAAAAACCGCGCTACCATTGTCTGCGATGGAAACACTCAAACATATCGGCGTCCCATCGTCCATGTAGTCGACCGCTGACAATACTGTTCGCCCTGTACGTTCCTCAGTCCTAGACCTAATCTCCTTAAGCATATCACGGACAGCTACCTCAGCGTTAGTTTGGATATGGTGCATATAAGCTTGCACTACTACTAGACTGTATTCATCTATCAGTTCAGTGATTAAATCAATTCCTTTTTTATTGGCCGCAACTTGTGCTTTGAGGTCAGAGAGGTTGTCGCGGAGATTTCGTGTGCCACTACTGCCTGGGTACGTTTGAGGTTCCATGAGTTTGTCTGTGACACCTGTAGGATACGGTAGGATAATAGTGGGAATAGAGAAATAATGAGAAATAGTGGGAGTAGGGATATTAGTGGGCTATCGTCAGTAGCGCCGCCAGAATTTTTTTTGGGCGGAGGGAGCAACTTAATAATTTTAGGTCTCTGCAATGGCATTTCCTGCATTGTGGAGGCACTTGGATAAAAATGTAAAGGTCTTAATAAACGACTTTTTAACCCAATGCGTTCAAAAACTACACTCTGAAAAACATTGTGGGCGGGGGGGGGGAGTATGTACAGGGTGAATACATATTAACATCACAATACGTTAACTGACCTTTTTCATCAAAGACTCCATTCTGCACTAACTTGAACGATTTAAATGTGGCGCCTTCTTCAGCAAGAAGTTTCGAATGTGGTGGCATGGAGCCTAAATAAGAGAACAAAGTTGTATTTTCGAAGTGACCAAAACAAGCAAATCTTTATGAAAAAGAGAAAAGATAAACACCAACCGGGTGTTATTCCCCCTATATCGGCATGATGACCCCTATTGGCGACGAAGAAGACTGGTTTTGGCTGTCCTGGATAAAATACCTAAATTAGGACATAAAACAAACACGAATGCTTAACAAGATTTCATGAACCACATAGCGTAACTGCTTAAATGATTATAATGCTCATGTCAGTACAAAACACGCTTCCATGCAAGTACAGTTTTCGATCTGTGTTGTTATAAATTTAGTACTTATTCTACAGGGTGTATAAAAAAAAAGGAGACCTTTAGAAATCAAGCATATTGTTAAAATTTGAATGCCTTTTCAATTGCACATATGTGGAACCGTAGTGCGTGAATATTGATGGGGTGGATATATTAGAAAAAGGAGACCTTATCTGCTCCTGGGAACAATCTGCCATGTATACTGTACGTAGATCGCATGTTACGCACTCGTGGGCTTAGCAAAGTGCTCCAGGATTCAAATTATAACAATGGTTGATTTCTAAAGGTCTCCTTTTTCTAATATATGCACTCCATCAATATTTCACGCACCACGGTTTAGCATATGTGCAATTGAAAAGGCATTCAAATTTTAATAATATGCTTGATTTCTAAAGGTCTCCTTTTTTTTGATACACCCTGTATTTCAGAGCCATGATTGAGCGAGTCTTACCGGTGTAATTACTGTAAGGTCAGGTAAATGACTTCCACCACAGGATGGATGGTTACATAAGATGACGTCACCTTCATTGATGTTGTCTCCCAACAGGTTCATCTGAATTCAATAAAGATTAAACTATAGCTTTTTTTTGCTTTTTTTTTATAATAACTTGACAATCAATAAGATTGAAGGTCAGGACATCGGAACAGAAGTTCCCAATTAAGTCCCACCAAGACAACACAAATACAGACGTACATAAAAAGCTATTTACAACAGTAAAAATTAATCTCGATTGAAGAATGCTCGAATGGTTAATCTATTGAAAATCAGTTTGTGACTAATTTATATGAAAAAAAAAAATGTATCAAGAGTTGTAACGAAAACTGAGCATATTAAGCATATAACAGATTAACCCATCGATCATGCTACGAGCATCTAGGTATTACGAGCAGCAGTTTATTTGCAGTGATCTACAATTACTGCATAGTGTTTTCCAAGTTCTACACCTATCTGCATCAAATACTGTAATCAGTTTATTAAAGTAATATTCATATAGTTTAGCTTTAAGGACGTATTTGGAAGAAGAAGATTTAATATCACTAGGCAAACTGTTCCATAGATACACAATTCTATTGAAGTACGAGTTCCTGAGCTGACTCACCAGTGGAAACTATCCGCAGTACGGAAATGCATGTCCGCAAGGAGAGATTGCAGTACCTGATATTGAACAGTCTCTTGCATGGCCCCAAGGTGTACTGGGATATGTGGTGCGTTAGCTACCAGTCCTCCATCAGGACCAAACATGGCACACGAGAAATCTAAACGTTCTTTGATGTTTGTGGATATGGAAGTCCTCTGTAAAACCCTTCAAAATAATTCACAACATATCGCTATTTTTTATATACAGTATTTACTTAGTTGTTGGAACAACATGTAAACCTTGCAGCAAGTCGTCAATACTCTGTCAACAAACAGTGCGAACCATCCTGATAACAAGTTACCGTAAACCTCCGAATATAAGCCCACCCCGAATATAAACCCACCCGAATATAAGCCCACTTGTTTATCACTATTGTTTATCACTATTACTACTATTAATCACTATTATTACTATGCTTAACACTTGTTTATCACTATTATTATACTTGTTTATCACTATTACACTAACACAAAAGATCGTCCATGTATAAGCCCCCCGTATATAAGCCCACCCTTGTATAAGCCCATCAAAAATCGCTTACGAAAGAATATAAGCCCAGGGCTCATAGTCGGAGGTTTACGGTATATTTCAGCATTGTTCAAGTGGGATGTTCGTGTTCAGTTTTTGCACCCATAGGCTACGTTTACACTATAGCTTTCAGTAGTGACGTGAAAAAACACCTATCCGTACCTTTTAGGAACGCTATTTTTGGAGGAATTATTCCAGTTCGCTCAGATTCTGAAAGTTGTACATTCCGTATAGGATAGGTGCAAGGACGAAACTTGAGGGGGTGGGGGGTGGGGTGTTGACACCCCCCCCCCCCAAAGTACAAATCATCTGGATTGGCAGGGCAAATCATCTGGATTGGCAGGGCAATAAAAGATTTTAAATGACAGAATGTAGAGTTATTAAGTAGCTTCCAGGGCTTCCAGAGGGAATTGAATAGAGTTTATAGACCTAAATTTTACAGACATTGGTAAAAAAATAAGGGTTTCATGCATGTTTTAACAGGAATTTGTCCGAAAAAAACTGTTGGACCCTATTAAAAGGGGCTAGTTTCGCCCCTGGATAGGTGCTTTTTCGCGCCTCTACGGAAAGCTATCCGGTACAGGGTAAACATAGCCTTAGACAGTTGCAAGCGAGCCTCTTTCACACCCACCTTCCCATTTGTTCAGCAATACTCATGAAGCGATGAGAGAAAATTGACAACTGAATGGCGTCCAGTTCTGTTGTGACATTACGCTGAGAAAGATCTCGGCCAATCTAACGGTAGAAACAATCTTATTTCAAAATCGACGCAATTTAATGCCGTCATACTGTGCAGAAATTTAAAATCAACCATATAATAAACGATATGATATAATTTCTATAGATTCTATTAACCTACTTGAATTCTGATATCGCCTGTCTTGGTTATCGAAGCAGTACAGTAAGGTTCAACTAAAACTGTGCTATAGAAAAAGTTTTACAAAATTCTTAGTAAATCACGACAATCGTTTTGTGCATGGCCAAATTTGGACCACAACAAATTGTGCACGTAGGTCCTCTAGAAAAACCTGCAAAATTAAATCTTGTATACAGTGTCAAATGGCCGGTTAATCAACTGATCTGTAAAACTTACCATGCTTTATCAATGATAATCGCAGGACCCTCGATTTCGTGACCATGACTTAACTTGTCAGACAAGTACAGTTTGGTATCAAGATATCCACTTTCAAAATAACACTTTGTGACCTTAAATGTATATTTATTCCTTGTGAATCCATGCTTGGCATTATTAAATATCACATACAATAATTAATGCATCTGTTTTTCACCTCTTCGATAATATGCAAATAACTCACTAGTTAAAGTGAGTTGAATTAATTTTGATCAAGTCCAATGACTAAATCAATTTTGATACAATTAATGCTTAATGATCAATATGCTTCACCATGCAGGTATCTAGTATTATCATGTTTGGCTAATTTACTCATTAGGTTACTTTTAGTCTAGTTGAAAATGTGACTACACAAACTAGCTTTTTTATCAACTTACATTCTCAACGGTCGGTGTATCAGTTGTATAGACAGATTCAAAAGTTTGATCAATGGACGAACGTCCTGTCCCTCGCACTCGAATATCGTCCACAATAATTGCTCGGTCTGGTATGGTGAAACCAAATTCCGTTGAATACCTAAGGAAGAAAACAATAAACAGGGCAGGAAAAAAGAATTTTCTTCTTGGGAGCACAACCTGGGGACAAAAAGTTCCTGCACACCAACGGAGTATTTTTGTGCAAAATCTGCATGTGCATAAAAACATATGATGTTCTAGCTGACAATGGTTTTAAATTCAAGGAATAATGTCTGTCAACCATATGTTGTTGCGCCCATAGTGGGACATGGGTGTTAAGGTTTCCTTCAAATTTTCAATAGCAAATCTTCATTCAAACGAATTTCCTGCAGCTGTTTAACATTTCCTGCGAGTAGTGCTCGCGTGCTCGCATATTTTTTCCACCCCTGACAATAAAGATTAATTTGATAAAGTAATTTACTTTTTAATTACCAAAACCTGATAAAGGACGCTTTGTTAAATTGAACTAAAACTTAACAAATATTATATCATCTATCAGTTATGTCGAGCCATTCTTCCTGGAAGTCTATACCGATCCCAGGTCTAAAATATCGCTCATGTTTAATGCTTATTTCTGTTTTGCATGAGGGGGAGGGTCCCTAATAAAACACCTGATGACGTATAGTTGGTACGATTTTACCTTTGTAGAAATGCTTTCTGAAAATCACCATGACTACAGCCTCCCGAGATCTGAAAAATGATAATATAGCAAAAATATTTCTGCTTGAATAGTAAAGCGTATTTGTCTTTTCAATATTATCTTTCATAAATGTCATGATAATTTTACTCACATCACGTTCTACGGCAGTGCACATCAGAGCACAATCCGTTCCATCGTAACGCATGTTCAAAAACGCTTCAGTTGAAATATCATTCCTTTGTTACAAAGCAGAAAAAAAATTTTTTTAACAAGTCAGAGAAATAAGTGAAATTGAGTGAAATAAATATTTCGGCAAAAGTGTTTCCGACTACTTTTTTAGTTTTGAGCTAGTCGGCTCGACCAATTTGTAACTGTAAAAAACTTACTCGTCAAAACCTTGTTCCTTCAGTTCTTTTTCACAAATCTTCTCGAGTTCTTTAATCTTATTGTCCAAATACTCGAAGGATTCTACGAAAATGGAAAAAAATAAATATCCTAGTAATTGCTTGATTAAAAAATTATTCACAGGCAAATGACAACTTTCTCTTGACTCCTTTCTCGTCACGAGAGAGCTTCAGATTTGCCTCCCACTTTCACTACCGCTACCGTCAAGGACTATGAACCAATCAGATGCGTTTCATATATCCGATTAACCAATCAGATGCGTTTCATATATCCGATTAACCAATCAGATGCGGACTAAGCCAGCGAGTGGTAACGGTAGTGGAAGTCAAATATGAATCTCTCTATTATTTACGCAAGAACCAAACTTTTTCCCAAGCCTTACCCTGAGAGTAAACCTTGGAGCATGTCTCCTGTGCTTCATGAACGACATCAGCCAAAGCAATTCCGTACGCTGATAAAATACCTGCATACCTAATATATCGAAATAATGGAGCAATTGATTAATTAAGCAACCAATCAATTAATCAATCTTTAATCAGCCAATCAATAAATTGATCAGCCAATCATAGTGAACCAATCAGTTAATAAAAAATAATGATTAACCAGCCAACCAATTAGTCGATCCATCATAAACATCAAATCAATCACTTGACCAATCAATCAATTAATCAATTAGCAAAAAATTAGAGAATAAATCAATAAATAATTTAATCAGCAATCAACCAATTAATCAGCCAGTCAATTAATCAGAAACCAAATCAATAAATAATTCAGCAACCCAATCAATCAATTAATCAGACCCAATCAATCAATTAGTCAAACCCAATCAATTAATTAGCCAACCAAATGACCTACAGATAATACACTGTATAAAACTAAAACATACTTATGAATGTAAACTGTAGACATTCCCAGTGATCTTGCCACGGCGCATGCGTGCTGACCTCCTGCCCCGCCAAAGCAAGCTAACACGTGACGTGACGTATCATATCCCTTGGCCTGTGTCAAAGCTCTGATTGGTCGACACATGTTCTCATTTGCAACTTTCACAAAACCCATGGCAACCTCTTCCACAGACAAGGCGTCTTTTCCGTCTGACGCAAGAAATTGATTGATCTGCCAAGTAATGAGAATACGGCCCGATCACGAACTTGGGCAAGGAAAAGATTGCTTGTCTGATAATTCATATTCAAGACGAACTATTTGAGTAGTTAATACGCCTATATGTGTGATTCCTCTTGGCGGATGACGCCAGTTACACGAGCAACAAAATTGCTACAACTTGCAACAAAATCTGATTTCAACGCATGTTAAGTAGAAATGTCGTCACATATTGCCTTGTGATTTGTAATGTATGTGTAAACATTTTCAATTAACATGCGTTGAAATTAGATTTTGTGGCAAGTTGCAGCAATTTTGTTGCTCGTGTAACTCCACCTTAAGGAAAATAAACAGTTTGACCGGAGTATGTTTTTCCTTATATTTCCTATAAACAGTTTGACCCAGGACTATTACCAAATATAAATCGTGTTAGGCGTGAAGTTAGTTTGTCTGGATAGTTCGTCATGTGTTTACATCAAGACGCAACACCCGTCAGACAGAGACGTAACTTGGTGGATAATTCCGCCCCAATACTTTACTTTTTCTATTTCAGAGCCATCCTCAGAGGTATGAAAAACTAGTTTCATATCATTCTCACACTGCAGAGAACTTTACTTTGTTTGGGATATTTTGCAAGCAGTACTTACATCTGTGATGAGCGTTTCAAAACTGTGGTATGAAGCATCATTATCCAAAGGTAGATCTTCATTTGGTCCAAAGATACATGGAAAATATCTTAAGATAATAAATCATTGCATTTTATTATACAGTGTATGTTTACATCGTAAGTAAATGCATGATGGTACCGCTTATCACTTCTAGACTAAACTGTTCTAGAAATCCAGTGGATAAACTTACTGTGGAAGTAGTCGGCCAAGCACGAGATTAGCGTCTGTGACAGCCAAATTTCCGCCTGCAAGATATGCAAATATTTTCACAAGGTTGAACAGTGAAGAAATACTTAGGCTTGTTTCAGACTGAATTCTTAGTACAGCTAGAGCAAGTATTGCTGTAGTCAGATACATACAGTCAGACAAATCGCAATGTTTAAACGTCTAGCAGGGGGAGGGAGGAAGTAGTCACGGAAACGCAACCACGACGTAAAAAAGAACGTGAAAATGACATGTATAACAGATGTTGCTTCAACTGACACGTCATCATTTCATGTCCTGTTTCCCATTCACTTTGTGTTACCATCCTAAATCCAAATCTTCCTATTTTCATCTGGGATACAAACCTTTTCTGTAACAGACAGGACCCGGATGCGCTCCGACGGATTCCGGACCCACTGCGAATATTCCCGAACGGAAAAACAATCTTGAACCTCCCCCGGCGGCAACTGTGTTCACATCAAGCTGTAGGTGTAGAAACATAATAAGATATCTGTGCCAACTATGATCTGAAAAACATCGCTACTGCTCCAGTTTTATTTCACGATCTGTTGCACATCTCTTACCTGAGGGGCCTGGATCGTAATCCCAGCCGTTGTCGTCTCAAACACGTGTTCAAGGTGACCAGCGTAGCGGGAAACATCTGTTGAGGTGCCTAAAATGTGATATAATGAGCAATTTATATTGGATCCGGCAACAGGACAGGCTGTATAGGATTGAATGTTAAGTTGACTGGATACTACCGCGGGCGTAGAAAAACTTGAACCAGCTCAAAGTAGCCTGTGTTCCAGTCCACTACACCGTCACACAACGGTGTAGTGGACTGGAACACAGGCTAGCTCAAAAATGATGAGAGTTGTTCAGACTACATGAGAGTCGATAGGCAACTCTTATCAACTCTCAGTGTCCAGTATCCACGTTTGACCGGCGCTGTAGACATACGTCACATACCTCCCATATCAAATCCTATAACGGGTTGATTTGACTCTTTGCTGTACGTTGTCACTGCATATCCAACCTTGAAGTAATCAGAACGCTCGTTTAGTCCGTTTACACTACTGTATTTTAAAATAATTTTCCAATGGACGTATTGGACGTTACAATGATCAAGTTGATCAGTCTCTTACCACTCCTCCAGCCGGACCGGACAATATGGCGCGCGATCCTGTAAACCTAAACAAAACAATGAAAACACTCATCTTAACTGTTACAAAGAAATTTAAACTTTTTACGCTGTAATTAACTCTTGCGGCAGGCGATTTTACTTAACATGGGGAGTTAAAGTGTGAAATAGGACTTAAGAAGATGAAAGTGCGGAATATAGTGTATGACATGAATTTTGAATCCTAGAAGAGGTTGCCAATAAACACGCGGTTGCTTGAAATCGAGGCTGCCAAGATGCTTTTCAGAAATGTTTTGCATGATTCCCAAAGGTAAGTGTAAAAAAACTTACTTTTGAACAGGTGTGAGACCGCCATCCGACTGCATGAAAAGAACACGTACATCCTAAAATGATGATTATTATCTTATTACGGAATTCTAATAAGGTCCGAATCAAATGAGGATGCGAGTTGACGAGAACGAGAAGCGAAAATTAGCATAGTTGCCGGTCAAATGCGAGCGAGAGTTGCAACTCTTATCAAATCTCATCCTCGTCATATTCCGATCAGAGTTGAATGAGAATTTTCGCTCCGTGCGCGATAATATCCAGTCAACTCTCATCAAGTCTCATGCAACTCTTGTTCTCGTTTGACCAGGGCACGAGAGTTGAGAAAACTCGCTTCTCAACTCTTTTCGTTTGATCGGGGCTTAATTAAGTCTTTGAATAATACTTAAACCACAACTACACGCATCAAAACTGCAAGCCTGCATATTAGCGTATACCTTATGCCCTACTTACGTTATACTAACTTAAAAACGAAATGTCGAAGTCAGATTGACCAAAACGAAGACAACTAATTATTGAATTTTTTTTCTGTGTTGGTGTAGTGTACTCAGGTGAATATGATATTTGTGGTGTTACTCTGAGTGTATATCCACACCGGGCGAGCTTGAAAAAT